TTTTCACCCTATAATGTCGAATTTGTCTTAATAACTTCACTTCACTGCAAATCCTGAATGATTTTGTCTCCCATGGCAAGTTTTTGAACATCTTGTGTCTTTTAGAAAACATTGGTTGTTTATAAGCAGTAATTATTTTATTTTAATGAACCAAAGAAAGTTTAGTCATCGAAATGACAAAATCATCAAAGTTAAAATATTAAGTTATATGAGTGAGATCATCAATTATCAAAGAAGCTGTAAGAAAAAAATTGTTGTTTTTGATGTAAAAGAATGTTTTTAATTTAAAAGAAATGCAATACTTGATTTTCAGAAATACGATGCAAAAATTAATGATCCCTATTAGAATTCAACAGACGCGACTCATTCAGAATTAAATTGAAAAAGTTGGTACCGATTTGAAATTTATGATTTTACAAATTGCTTAATTGAACGCACTGCAGAAATTCAAGATCACCTATGAGTATGAATTTAAGTCTCATGACTGGAGATCTCAAAATTTATTGTACTACCACGTATGTTTGATACATAAGCTTTTTGATGAACAGAGTTTATTTAGGTTCTATTGACTGTAATAGGTAGAACGATGCGACATATTTGCGGCCATCCAACGATCGGTTGACGGCTTTGACTCTTGATACCACTGTACAAATATTGCGGTGGACACATCTTCCAGAAGTTTCAATGCAAAGATTCTTATTTAAAGGATAATAAATCGATTCGTAGCTGTTTACTCGAATTACTCCCACCTATAGATATAAATGAACCTTATTCAATTTATTTTAAACGTTTTTCATGAATTCGCATTAAAATATTTATTTTGAAATCAACCATGTCAAAGTAACGAAATAATTTGTTATAGTTTTAGGCTTCCGAAAATATTTCAAATCTCTATCAGAAATATCATAATTTATCATTCTCTTGCATTGACTATATTAACGTTATGATCTGTGCCGCCGCTGCCGCGATCGTCATTTGTTTTCGAAGTTGCATGCCGGGCGACTGCTTTTGTTGTTCTATGTATTCTTGCTCCCATGAATTGCGTGTTTAGTGTATGCATCATCGAAAAGTCTGCTTGACAGCATAGTCACGGTAGCTGTAATTACTTTATTAAGTTTACTTCTTTGCAGTCATATTAAGAGACAAATCTTTAACAAACTAATACTTTGTATAATTTTAATTGTTGAGTGAAAGCTGCGCCTGCAGCCTTGCTGGCACGCAACATTTCCAAGTGAATTACCTTATAGAAACTTAGCATACCCATACGTGTTTTAAGCCTATAAGAAGTTCATTTTTTTGCCTCAAATATAGTCAAATGGGGTAAGACAGGATCGTAGCCTTCATGGGGTAAGAAAGGACCGGCCCATGGCATGCATTATAATTGCACTGAATTTAAAATGATGGAAGAATATGTTAGAGCAATCATTGCCTGTCATTTCAGTGTTTGTTTCAACCCTCTTCTGCAAATAATGAATTTTTGGTTAATTTTCAAAGAAAACCTATGTAAAGAAGGGTCACAAAATAGTTAACCCTGTTTGGGAAATAAGCTGTGTCTGATTACAAAAAATTTTTTGGCCAGGTTTGTGGATGTAGGCAAGTAACCTCAAGTAACAAGCAACTTTTGAGACATACTAGGCATTCGTACCTGCTACCATCACTGCCTGACATGTATTCTAAAATGGGGTAAAAAAGGACCGGACATGGGGTAAGACGGGACCACTAAATGATCCTGTTTTACCCCACAAGTGGTCCTATCTTACCCCACAAATGGTCCTGTCTTACCCCACAAATGGTCCTCTTTTACCCTATAGTTTATCAAAAATAGCTTTTAAATGAATATATTATTGTGCATAAGTATACATGGAGTATTTTGGTCAAAATTTTTATCTTTTGCTTAAAATAACCATTCTAACTTGTTAGCTTTTTTAATTAGATAAATTTAGCATACTATTGTGAATTGCATCATGGGGATGGAGAAAATAGGGATGTCTCTTCCCATTAGTGAGCTGCAGAACAATGTGCAAGAGTGGTTGGGGGAAAATCATTGTGTGAAACATAAAAAATAATTATTATCACAATTTTGTGAGAGGGCATGGGCTATGTTTGAAGAAGTGCACCACAAATGAAGTTAGCAAGAAAACCATGACATCTGACACTTAAGTTATTATCCATTGGTTTTATTACCAATTTGATAAATTTTCAGGCAATGACACTAATGGAATATACATGTAAAATGTGGCAGTGCTCTACAATGAATCAAAGCCAACCTACTATTTCTATGCTTAACGAAGTTTTCTCGTGGCAAAATCTCCAATGTGACTGCTATTAGAGTTGACTTCCTGCAAAACAAAATGGTAACAAGTGGTTGTTTGATCAAATAATGTGTTTCTAGATGGATAATATTGAATATCAGATTTATATTTTTACTAAAAACCTTGTAACCTAAGAATTATCTGTTGGTCCTGTCTTACCCCAGCCTGGTCCCATCTTACCCCAATGGGGTAAGATGGGACCAGCTCACTTTTTTTAATCTGTACAGAAAACTGTGTTGCATGCAAAAAGTCTGAGTTGTAGCTTTGAAGCCCATTGCATAACCACACCTTGTGATGAGTTTAGGATTTTTTAGTTATTCATGGTATAGATGCTACATGCCTGTTAGTGATTTTGGTCCTGTCTTACCCCATCTGACTATAATGTACCTATCGAAAAACTGGTGTAGGTGTATCGGGAATAATATATGAAGGGTCAATATTAGAATTCCATCCTGTACAGGATGGCTTGTAATTTCACACCATTTTAATTGGGTTAAGTGAATTTACTATAAAAAAAAAGATAGTGAAAAACATACCTGAACCAGAAAGGAATGTTTTAGTGACAACCATCATATGTTTTGCAGAAATAAATCATAGTTTATATCAATTACTTTTCATTCTATGATGCCTGGTGCACAATTCTATATATGACATTCTATGCACAATTTTGTGATGACCAATTGTGCACTAATTTTTTGACAAGTGAATTTTTTTTTGCCAAGCGAGGTAAATATAATCAACATTCTTTGTTTTTAATCAAGTTTTTTCTTAACTGGAGCCTTTGCTTACTGAAGTTCTACTGTAAATGCGTTTTTGGAGGTGTCCCGAATAGCCCCGGGGGCCGGGAGGGGTGTCCCGAGAACTTGAGAAGCCCCGCCGTGCGGAAATGACAGCCATTTTTTTGGGGGATTGAGGTATGTAAATTCTGCAAATAAAGTTTTCAAGCTGACACCTGAGTGCAACTTTTATGTAAGTAAAATTTTTTAATATGGCAAATATTTTTTTTACTACAGACCTTAGCAAGTTAGCAGAAGTAACTTTTCAAAATAGCGTTTTTCACCATTTTTTTGAGAAATTTTTCAAAGCTAGTACATAAATGTAGTATTTTTGACTTCCTTTATACTACACAGATTGGAAAAATGTTGAAATTTACACCACTATATTTAGTTTTGCAATATTCCAATTAGCTTTGCTACTAAAACAGTTTTATGCCATGTCAGAGGACTGTCCCGAGTTACCCCGCCAGCCACCACTGCCAACTGCCAAGTAGCCCCAGTTGACGGTAGTCATTCCTTTACATCTCAGGACTCGGGTGAAAGAAATAACCAAACAATTGACCAAATTACCATGCTATGATTAATCTCAAATTTATAAAATGGTCTTCAGATTCTTTCTTGTTTCCTAGCATAGTGGCAAAGCAGAGAGTTTTTTAGATTCTCTCTCAAGTTCATTTGTGAGTCCTATAAGTAGACCAGTAAAGTATCCTGGATACCAGCAGTATCTGAGTATCATACATAAGGAATTGATTTAGGGTAAACGCGGTATATTCCGACACTTTAACTTAAGGACGCGTCGAGAAATGAAAAATTATTAAAAAAAACCGTATGCGTTACGTAAGTTCTGTTGCCTTCACATGACTCTCAAAACACTTCACTACGCGTCAGCAACAATGAAACGTCACAAAATGTTGCCATATTTATTTTCACAGACGTATTTAAAAGTCTCAAACCATAATATTCTTCCTATAAAAACAGTTATTCACTATTTGGTAGAGCCATGTCAACTGTCAAATTTGACACATTGTTCGATGATCTCACCACGTGCCACGTGGCATGCATTGTCTCTCTTTGGATCTCAATATTTTCCCGCTAGATGGCCAAGACCTAGTGTTTTTGCAGTATTTCGACACGCAAATGTATGACGTCACCATTTCAACCATCAATGAATGCATGGAACTAAAACAAAGCTTAATATAAAGGAAAAACTAGAGAAGTGATGGAATTACCTACGATGTCGGAATATACCGCGTTAACCCTATGAGGAAATTATGAATGAGGAAATTAAAAATGAACTGATTCTAAAAAGGCTGTGGTTTGCCACTATGTTTCCTAATAGGCTAGTCCTAGGGGCTAGAGGTACTTTTGGAGTAAAAGAATTTCCAAAATTAAAAAGTTGAACAATTTTTCTCAATAAGATGAGACATGAGAGAAATTCATGGCTACATAATTTACTTACTTCACATTTTCACAAGTTCACAATAGCAAATGTGATGCATAAAAGCTGAAGAATAAAACTTTTCCGAGTTGTATCTTGTATGGAATAAAGAAAAACTGACTGCACAGCACAAAGTAGTGAAAGTACCACTTGGAAATGAAGCCCGTGCAGGACCGCATGATTCGGCATGAATGCTTGATAAACAAAGAGCTCAAGAGAGTTCTGGATGGTTCCAAACTTTAACCTTTGGTGACAAATGCGAATGTGCTAGACTGCTAGCCTAGAGCCCTAGACTAGAGGAATGGCAAAAAAGCTCACATAAATGCTGGCGTCTAGTCGAAATTCTAATTTCAGGTGCAACAAGCCAATTTTTAGTTATTCGGACTTGAAAATTACACTATATTAATTATTAATTAAAGACCTCATGTATTTCAAACACCCTTTTCAGTCAAAATTTCTCGCAAAGAGGCTTACCTGGTAAATTTACTTTGGCCAGATCTGCGTACCAAATGGAAGTAGGAATACGATTAAGATTTTGAATCAACCGCGCAAGACTCGCATTCAGATAGAGACTTTCCGGGTTTCTTTGCGCCGGAAACCTAGCACAAGCGCATGATATAAAATTTGTATTATTTTTAAGTTTGACCTTTCGACATTTAGCTGTACAAATATGTTGCTTTTCTGATTGATTTTTTCATATGAAGCTCATTCGTCCAACAGGACATATATTATTATTTTTTAGTCCATGCTGCACCACGACTAGGGTCTAGGTGCTTGCGTATACGTATGTGCCGTCTGTCAATTTTTTTAATGATTACATTTCAGCAATGTGCTATGGTTGAAATATGGTGTTTCGCACTCGCAAGAAAATTAGTCGCTAAAGGCAAAAAAGCATGTTTCAAGGGAAAATCTAAATACATATCCAAGAAAAAAATCATTCATGCTATCTGTCTTTAGTTTGAAAATATCTTCAATTTCAGTTAGCTGATTCTATCAAATACAGATAGCCAATAGAAACTAGGTAACCTCAAGCTGGATGCTTGTCTTATATTGGTTGTTTCATTAATTGCAAAAAGTATTTAATGAGTTGAATTAGAACTGAGAGCGCTTAGCAGACGAATCTATTAGCCTCGTGTTATTGTATGATCAATCTTGCTCGCTGCACTGTCACGAATCTACTCTTGGCCTCCTGGGTTTACATAACAATTTTTCACCGGGAATTGCGAGGAGCGCCTACATAATAAATATCAGCGACATGGAATCACGTACAGAAACTCACGGCTAATAAAATCACGTACAGGCTAGAACTTATGCGCCTTCCTTCACAGGTCGAGCCGCGACGCGCAAGAACTGCTGCTCATCAATGGAAGAAATGTTTTTCTTAATATTCATTTCTATTAGCTACTTTATTCTAACTTGTATAGCTTATCTTGAGCTTAAAATATATTAGAGGTAATATGAGAAAACTATGAAGTACCTGCAGCTTGTATATATGTACGCAGCATTGGCACATACTTCATGCCTTTAGATAAAAAACGTAGTCTACGGTTAATGTAGCTTTAGAAAAAGAGTTTAACTCAAATACAATCAATTTTCGAATAAACACTTGATCGAATTATCCAAAAAGACCAGAATATTTGAAGCAAAAACATATTTTTACAATTACGATGGATGGTGCCGAAAAAAGATATCAACGCATGTATCATCATTTGCATTAACCTGCTCATCGAGCACAATAGAAGCTGAATGAATTAAGTCAGGTGAGTAATGTAAATGAAGCAATGGAAAACATGAGCGTTCTACCAGGAAAACCTACGCTATCGCATGCAAAGCACGGTGGTTATATCATGTCTCGCCACTCCGAAAATGGATCGAAAATCGACGCGTTGCGACAATGGTGCGTCACATTCTGAGCAGTAAACCAAAGAAACCTAGAAGGTGGAAAAGAAAGTTAAGCGCGAGCTCGGGTGGTTGTCAGGAATCTTAATAGTAGAACTGAACTGATGCCTCATGCTTGTGGAAAATTTGGTGAAGCAGATCCTTTTAAATTTTAAATAAAAGCCATTCCTTCGTCATTTCGGTATTTGAAGGTTGGAAATCAATTTAATATATTAATAGATGAAAAATTCGATGAAGATAGACGAAAAGAGAGGCGGGGTAGAGGGTCTGAAGGGCGATGGTAAAGAATTGATAACGCTCAAAATTCAGATGTGATCAATCAAAATGAAAATTCATTGTGCGATGATGTTCGGCAGAAGCGATCTTGAGGTTAGGGGTCAGTTGCTGACTGATGGGAAAACATCAAGACGGAGTTCTGGATGGTTTATAGTGACTGTGGATTGTTGTTAACAAATTTTTTTTGTAACATTCCATGATCGATCAATACGAATTTCCGTAAATATTTCACCTTAATTACGTTAATTTTATCTACTTGCTTATTGGTAAATAGGCTGTGATAAAAATGTCTATCAACAAGTCTTTTTAAACAATTCCTGATAAAACTTATGTAATTACTGAATTCAACACCAATCCCGATGTTAGTATTGTATTTTACGCTCACAGGTATTATATCCTGCAAATGTGTGATCGAGAAATTCACTCATTATATTCTAAAATTTGTTATTAAACACTTTTAATCGTTCACTGATATACTACTGACAACTCTTAAATCCTGAATAAAATCTTGTCATCGGTTCACTTTAAAATGCAAATTCCACATGAAAAAATAGATTTTTAAATCGTGAAGTAGCGAGAAAAATTATATTTGCACTGTAGACGATACTCGTGGGCGTCCTTAGAGCTAAAGGTGTCGCCTAGGCACAGTCTTGGGTGTCCCCAGAGCTAAAGATGTCGTCTAGGCACAGTCTTGGGCGTCCCCAGAGCTAAAGGTGAAGTCTAGGCACAGTCTTGGGCGTCCCCGGAGCTAGAGGTGAAGTCTAGGCACAGTCTTGGGCGTCCCCGGAGCTAGAGGAAGTCTAGGCACAGTTTTGGGCGTCCCCAGAGCTAAAGGTGAAGTCTAGGCACAGTTTTGGGTGTCCCCGGAGCTAAAGGTGAAGTCTAGGCACAGTCTTGGGCGTCCCCGGAGCTAGAGGAAGTCTAATCTCTCACGATTTACCGCCCAGAGTCGTCCGTTGGCATCAAGTATCCGTTCTTCAACTTCAGCATCCAGGAGAGTCCTTAGATAATATTCAGTGAACATTTGTACACCATACGCATATGGTGTCCATCGTATTTCGCCATCTTAATGATGTCCATCGTATGTCGTGAATACTTTGCTGACTATTCCAGGCCTAGTGAGGCTAGTGAGCTAGTCCAAGTTAATTTAATCCAACCCCAATTCAGGCGATCTCAAATGTCATTACGGTAAATGCCCATAACAACAGCTCGTTCAACACCTTCTTAATAAAACTTACATTGATGCTAAACAGCCCTCATAAAAATTTAGCGTTTGTGAGCCACTTTCAAATGATGCGCAACAAAAGCGTTAGTTTCGAAGTCTTGAAAATATGTTACGCTAAGTGGATAATAATTAATATTGAGCTTATAGAGGCAACCTATTCTGATCTCAGGCAGATGTTTGCCCCTAACCACGCATTTCTATCAAGGGTGAAAAATACGAAAAATAATTTATTGTTTAGTTTAACGAGTTGTACGCGATTTTCCGATACTGTTCGATGTGAAGTGCAATGATTTTGGTTACATAAAAAATGGGGTTGCAGAACAATGCACAGGTTTCACGGTATTGCGAAACACTGGACACGGAGATATAATAAATTTAAAAATAAATGGTAAAAATTCAAATATTCAGGATACAAAATTCGGACACAGCAATTACCACGCAGCACAATTAAATTTCCACTCAACATTCAGACATTCAAGATGAGCATGATGCATGTAAGAAGAAACGTGAGCGAGTGCAATTTGGTCAAAGAATTGGTTTCTGATTATACCGAGATTTAGACTAACGAATTTTTTAATTTCATTGGAAAAGCCCGTTGTTAAAACATGTTACTGAACAATGTTAGACATTTTTAACGGAAAAATTATAACTTTTGTATCATTCGCGGATCGACTAATCACTAAACTAACGTTCACGATCTCATTGCACCGTGCACTGGCGAGCTGATAATCTACCCGCCCAAGCCCCGCCGAGCAGAGCCCATCGCAAGCATTGGAGGACACAGCCTTGCATTGTACGAGTACTTGCTTTATTCTGCCTCGCTGGGCTCGTCAGGCGCCAAATACTGGCGGGTTCGGCGAATACTCCGAAGAATACTAGCTCCGATATCACGTATTCATCGGAGATGAGTATTCATTTCCGATGAATACTCTGATGAATACTCGCGAGTCAGACTCGGTGACTTGGGCCCTGTAGTCAGGCTCGGCTCGTCTCTATTTGGCTCAGTTCGGCTGGTTTGGAGCCAAATCCCGAAGGGTTAGGTAGGTTGGAAGATGAGCCGAGAAAGACTCGGGAGCCTGACTCGAAAAAGACTGGGGCCCTTCAGTTATCCAGCTGTATCCGGTGCCAGTTACCTGCTCATTGGTCAAACAAGCACTAAAAATGGTCCCGTGAAATTGACATTTTTCGAGTTGTCATGGCTTTGCATGGAAGAAATGTAGGAAGCGATGTTGTTTTTTGGCTAAAAGATCAAGGCCAATATTTTTAAGACCTGCAAACATAACTGAATTTTTTCCTTAGACAACTCAGCAGATTAGAATACGGTTCCAGTCATCTCATCTTAAAAATAACAGGAATCAAATTGACATCTACTCTAGTAACAAAGATCCACACATACAACACTCTTTTTAGCTCTAGAAAAACCGACTGGATATCTGAACACATAATCGCGCAGTTGAGAATCGAGGGAGTGATTTGTCCAACTAAACACTCATTTAGGGTCTGGCAGTAATTCCTCCATATGAGAACAATGATTTTTTTCGATAGTTGTTCTAATTACACTCAATTACGTAATTATCTTTCGTACAGAATAATTGTGTGATAAAAGTGTTTCAGTGCGTGATTTGTTGTTTTTTGCTGTCTAGTTTAAACACGAACATCGCTCCAAAACTAATAACAGGCAGTCGGCCTGAGCCAATTAGCTCTAGCCGAGCGCTGGCCATTCCTCGGTCACGTGAAAACCGCAAATCGAAAAATCAGCGCAGCGGCAGCTATCATCATAAAAAACCACGCGCTTTAGAGTAGAAACTTTCAGATCTGAAGACTGAACATGGATTCCATACCCTAGTCCTGAATACACAGCTGTCGAACTTCGCTGCGATGCTTTATTGCTATATGGGACCAATGATTATCCACAACAGGAAACGAGGGGATACGCTTTCAACACAGGTGGGTTCCCTTAACACAAGAGAGAAAAACATCCAACTTTAGGTAGGCTTAGTGAAGCATTATGATCGGTATCTAGCATAAAGCAATGACCATTTAGAAGCCAGTTGTAATGAATAACTGAAGATATGTTGACATTTCATTCAATTTGTTATAATGGTCAGCCCTACACACCTTACGGAAGTTCAAGATGAAACGGCAAAAAAGTTCCTTATCGTTCTCCTTAAAGGTTAACATTTTTTGTCACGATTGGAACTAGAGTTTCAATGAAAGTTTTAATCCAAATACATATGCGACATTGAGGTTTCGCTGCCTTCATTGAAGACAAGCGTGCATGTTAACTGTGAGCGTGGGTGCTGAGAGCTGAGCTGAGTACATTACACTGGGACAATGCCAGAATATTACGTCACACTTATAGGTAAAATTGGTCAGGATGGCGACAAACTTAACTCTAGAGCGAGTGGAAATCTTTTTCGTTTTACACATTGAGAGCCGTCAAAACAATGAAAAATCTTTAAAGATCATTCAAATCCAGAGGATTTTGAAAATTTTGTCAGACGTATGAGACCGATTGTTTCAAATTAAAAAATCAAATCACAACTAGGCGAGAGCCATGGACCAATTGATAAGAAGAAAAAGTGATACTCGCTCCGACATGCGAAAATACTCGCTACTGCAGCACATGCGATGAATCGAAGAATAGTAGTTTCACTTTAAGCATTGTCAATATATTGAACGACTAAACGTAGTGACACTGGTTAGTCCTGACAGATTGCAGTAAGAAAATGCAATACCGAGCCAAAAAACAATCATGATTAATTTATCACCGAATTCTATTCCAAGTCATTTCATGAAAGTTGCAATTGAATCAAAGATTTCATACAAGACGATGGCTTGGCTGCCCAGGATGCGGTCGATTGATATGCATTATGCAGAAGTGATTGTAAGATTCTTGTTTGTGATAATCAAAATTAATTACCTTCTTTGGATTGAATTGGTCACGGAATGTAAACATGAAGGTTGATATTTGCTTCCGTAATTTAGGATATTTTCTAGATTTATAACACCAAAATCGTCATTTCCTTCTGGATGAAATCAGATGAAAATTTACCACACCAACATTTTTTAAACAGTATTTAAACTTCGAAGTTAGTTATGAAAATTTACAAAGATTCTGAGCTACTTAATTCTGTTCCGTACTTTAAAGTATTTCCGCTTCGAAGAAATCGTTGAGAATGGACAATACTCTGTCCTCGCGCTCTGGTACTCCAAGAGCCAAGTCAACGCTTCCAACCATGACGAGGGCGGACATGGCTTCTGCTCTCGTCATGTCGTCCATGAGGTCTTCGAGTGCGCAGTTCTTGAGTAATTCGGCGCCTCCGCCGTCTGCGACATGGGCAGAAAAATCAGACCAGTAGACGGAGAGCAAAGTATGCCGCGAGTCCCGTCTGACGTCTGGAGTGAAGGAAGTTGACAGAAGGAGAGCCAAGTCAATGGCAGGACTGCCGTAGGTCACGAGCTGCCAGTCAATGAGGCAACACAAGATTTGTGGTTCCTCACCAGCGAATAAAAGATTGTTCGCCCAGAAGTCACAATGAACCAAGGTGTTGAGTTTAGGCGAGGGTTTGAAAGCTTTTTGGATTACCTCGGCCATCCTGGTCCCTTCCTGGTATTTTTGCAGCTTTTCCCTGGTGGTTTTGTATTGACTTTTTTTCTGCAGGAACTTGATGAGCAGAGGAAGTCCTCTCTCGACTAAGCTGTGGAATGATGCCGAAGCTTGTGCGGCTGTCAAAAGGTACGGAAACTTTTGCCTGATATCGTAATTATTTTTAGCGGAGTACAGAAAAGAAGCTGCGTGGACCTTAGCGAGAGCCTTGACGGCAGCTATGCCTTGAGGGAGGGACAGCCCTTTGGAAAGGGACTCGGTGAAGAAACCTTTCGATGTCAAGTCTTCTAGTACCAATACGGATTCGGACTTCTCAGAACACGACGCATAGTAGCAAATAGGGAGTGGCAGGGCAGGGATGATTGCCTCCAAAGCTGGCAGTACCTGGAGAAGAAAGGAGTTCTTTCAAGTCTATGAATTCAATATCAGCAGAACAACAGCTAGATTAATGATACGCTTTAGATGGAAGGCGTTGCCTAAGGTCAAAGACTTGAAATTTAATAAACAAATCAACGATGTATCCTAATCAATTTTCATCAAGAAGAAATATTTTCGGGTAGTATGGCTTAACTCAAACCTCGGTGTAGAATCTGATCTCTCGCGTGTCGAGGGCCCACTCGAGCATGAAGGCACGCGACATGTCGTCTGCAGGGGGCAGCTTGGCCACCATGTCCAGGGACCTCGGAGAGCTGTCCAGCGAGTACTCGGCGTGAACTGCCAGCAGCTCCATCAGGCTCGACACTTCGTAATCGCCTCTTGCTTCCTCTTCTTTCGAAGGCGCGCCTACAAGCAGAAAAAAACGATTAAAAATCGTTGGCGAAATATAAGGCTAAGGAATTGAAAATGAAATAATCGGGATTTACAATACACTTACTTAACTACAGGTGATCCGTGCATTTCACCAGCGTTAATTGATCGAATAGTTTAAATTTTGCAACTACCACAAAATTCGATGACTATAGATGTGTTTTTAACATCTTGCATGAAAAGTTCAAGCACACTAATTTTTACAATTGTCCTACAAGCCTACTGACAGACAGCCAGGCGTATTGAGGATGTCAAAAGCCTGTGTCAATATTTATGAAGTTGAGAGAAAAAGATTTCTTTACCGATGTAACAGCAGAACTTCGGTGAAATTCGATGTTTGCAAAATATAGAAATTAATTTTACCTACCATATGATCAAGGAAAATTAGGCTGACATAATACTTACGATGGGACATCTGGCCACATTTGTTCACGGGAGGTCCGCAGCGTACGGTGCCTATGCGCCAGTCATGCACCTAAAATATGCATAAAAAACTGGGATGAATGTCCAATCACTTAAAAACGATCACTATAAAAAAAATTGTGTGAGTAATCACAAGAATTTACGGTCAACGAATCATAGTGCTCGTGTTCATCCTGGTTACCGTGTTTTCTCCGACCGAGTAATTAGACTTCATTTAAAATTTGTTCAAACATTTTCTTGCATTTAAACAGAAATTAATGCTGTGCTATGAAAGTATTTTTTCACACTGAGAAATCATACGAACAGTGCCTAGAGTAGCTACATTATTTGTCGCGTGGCGTCTGTCTTTCTTCAGAAAAGAAACAAGTTACCCGACATCATGGTTGAACTAGTATATAAGTTCAATCATGACCTAACATGACCTTTCAATACCATGATGATCGAAATACATAAAAGTTCATCACTTTGAAGGAACCAATGCACATGTTTTGTGCGCACGATGCTTCAGACGGTTTCGACTTGTTGGTCCTGTTTTTTTTACTGTAAACGTTTTAGGGATGATGAAATTATAATATTTCACAAGCAAATTTAATGGTGCTATTAGACTCAGCACAATTGTAACGTTTAAAAGTGGTTTGCAATTATTTGCAACTTTATATTTATGGTTTAAATTAGTTTATTACTTATTTGAATGGGAACGAAATTCATTTTTCTGGCTAGCTATTCAAGCCAAAGAGAAAAGCCTTATTAAATCGAAAATTCAATTTCATAATATTACCTAACATTGATATGTCCGCTATGAAATCGGCAACGTGTTGCACGAGTATACCTGAAAATGTACGTTATACGGTGTAAAATGTTCGTGAATGGTGTGCAATTCAATTGAGTTCAATTGCAATTCAATCAAGTTCAATTGTTCTTACGTTGTCTAAAGAAATTGGGATCAAAAAATCATTGGTGGAGACATTAAATCTCAATTTCTAACTTCAAAACTGCATGAAAATAGATATAATACACAACAACCCCACAAAAAATTGACCTAGCAGCATCACCACAGCTTCGCTCTCACAGCAACCGTATATAAGGAAGTCATGCTTATGCTTCCAATCACGGAACCGGACGCAACTCGCTTTTTTCCCAGAGAATCCTAAATAAAACTTCACGATGCATTGGCTGTCACGGCAGAGATTCTGTGAACCATGAGATATAAATCTGCAGTATATATACTGAATATTTACAAAGTAAACCAATTATTATACAACAAACGGTAAAAGCATTGACCACCTTCCACAAGATGTTTAGTACGGAAACGAGACCACATGACAGAAATAGGAAAAAATAATATATATAATTCATGTGGTCAGTAATATCTTGAGAGCAAAATGATGGTGGATGTTATTTTAGAAACAACATTGCCTTACCATTATTTGCACTCAAAGAGATAAGTGGAAATTTGTCCGGATAGTGACGCACTTTATAAGTTTGTGTGGTTCATCCGGAACCAGCTTGATCCAACAAAAAAAAAAGTCTTTTAATGCTGCGTTTGCTTCGAGCTAGTGCTGTGGGTAGCAATTATTGCAACAATATCACCAATTGCAATTGCAAATGTGCAACTACTTGGACAATATCACCTGTTCATTGGGCTGAGTGTAGAATGATAAGGCAGCAATGATACTTTGAGGAGCATAAACGCCTCAGCGTTGCGAATAAGAGGCATAAAGCCATAAACTCGAGACCTCAATTGAAGGCTCGGCAAGGCATACAATATTAAAGGCGATGGCAGCAAGCAGCGGCTGCCGAGTCCGACGTATGGGAAGTGCAGTGTTAATGTGTTGCGCTAAATATGGAGCGCCATGAGCGTACATAGTGAATCGAATAATATTTTATTTACATCAAGTAATTAGAATCGGGTTTTGTGCATGAATACGATGCAATATCTGAGAATAAAAGATCCATTCTCAGTAGCTGGAATATGAAAATACTGGTCAGTGTGGCCCAGTGGTTACGGTTCAGAGAAGCAGGATTGGAGCAGTGAGTTGTGGGTTTGATCCCAGCTCTGGGCCGAAGTTTTTGGTCAGAATCGGCAAGGAAGCTGTGCGGTTAAGCACCGCAAAATTGTAGCAGTGAGTTGCATGTTCGATACCGCACCAATTGCCGTTCATGTTCTGCGATGTTATAAATCGGCGACAGGCATTCAGCCTAATAAACGCATAAACCGTTATTATTATATGGTTTGTTTATTTACTCAATTACTCGTATTACAAAACTTGACGTTACAAATATGTTTCAATGCGTCAATGCTTCAGTGTGTAATTGTATTTTTGGTTTCTAGTCACTTAACTTGACAAGAGTACCATTATTGTATGGAAAATATTGAAGTAACTAACCTCTATCTCAGTTGAATTTATCGACTCCTTGGTGCGATGGAAGCTCGTCAAGATGGTCTCGAGCCACTCACGAGTGGAGGCTCGGTCTTCTGCGTCGTACGAAGACCGCCGAGAACTGCCAGAGTCGCACGAACTTGCCTTTGTGAACTGCGACGCCATATTGCGATCCCTGTAAACAGATTATGCTGTCTTCACGTGCCCCTGTAATGCATTAACAAAATAAACCTTAAATGAGAAATTCGCACGAGGAGTATGCATACGTGGAAATAAGGGATAGAAGATAGGTTTATGGTAGTATATATATGACGTAGAATCAAACGTGGATGAAAGAGGATACAAACGTTAATAAAATAATATAAATACAAGAATTCTTGTCTAAAAATCGCTACTGCAGTTGATGAGCGGCATTATGAAAACACAAGTTAATACAAGTCTGAAATTCACTATGTTATTTTTCAGTACTAAAATTCCCAGCTTCAAATTTGTAGCAGAAAAGTTTCAATTTTACATTTTTATTTAAATGATTAGTACTGTATGGTTTCTGTTGGTGGGCGCTGACTTGAAAACAATGGTGATTAATTTTAACGTTGACGGTTGAAAAATAACTAAATATTATTGATAACATTGACATATAAATGTGAATAACATTGTAACTAAAGGAAACCACGTTAATTTATATTCCCGAAACTTCTAACATTTCCATAGCAGTAGCTGTGCCATCGACGGCAGCGATGTAGAGGGAGAGTAGTAACGAGTGAGAGGAGAGAAGGACGCTCAGGCGTGACAGCTCTCAGGTGTCACAGCGTGACACGTCAGCGTGAGAGTAGCAACGCCCTCCCGCACGCTAGTCCATGTGTGAGTCATCGCGTCGTGACGACTGACGACTAACTTCACTCTTCACTTCTTCAGTCGAGTTAGTGACCTCATGTAAACACACATCAACCCGACTTTAGGTGCATATCAAGGATTTCCTTCCGTCGGTACGGTTACCCTATAATTCCAAACATTGTTTCCTTATTATCACTATATTCATTAGCTCAGTACCAGCAATAAGACAGCGTTCACGAAACGTGCAGCGGGAATACAGATGGCAATTTTGGTCGTGCTTATTGTTGGTACTGAGCTAATGCATATGATGATAATAAGGAAACAATTTTTGGAATTATAGGGTAACCGTACCGTAAAAGTCGGGTTAATGTGTGTTTAACCCAAGCAAAACGACGATAACTTCTACGAGTTATGGCTGATGAAATGAAGACTTATAATATTGTCAAGAATACAGTACTCGCAGAACAATAACCAAGAGAAATATAATAAATTACTATAATATCCGTCAACCAGCGTGCCAGAAATCCCGCTGAATGGAAAAGAAATCCGAGAATTAATCGGTTTCCCGTCTGATGTGCAATAGAAGATTTGTCTACAATCCTTGTAACAGTCGTGAGATTCTGGTGTATAAAAATGCCAACTGCCGTATGGCACTTGATTCCAATAACATTTAATCAGCTATTGCCATTTCAGTCTTTCTTTTAAAATATTGATCCCCGAAAGTTTTTTTCTGTCTTTTAGAATATTGAAAAAGCCCACTAAGCCCCGAAAAAAAAGCCCCTTTCTGTCCCCGAAAGCCCGCTAAGCCGTTTTCATCATTCTTCAATTAACTCATGCAAGTGATATTATGGATCGATGAGCTGCAAGATTCCGTTAGAGAACCTCTGGCAGGAAAACTGTGTGAGCACCACCCGCTACACGGAAATGTAAGGCAAGAGCTGCTGCCGTTCGGAAGCGATCGATCGAAGCTGCGCGGCGCGCCGTATACCGACTAGAATTGCGGTACAGTTGGACGACTGCCATGCCGGGATGCGCTGAGGTTGGCAGTCCAGCTTACAGTCACATAGAACTTTGTTCAGCTGCACGAGCAATACGACTTGGCTTCGTTCAACTTCGAACAACTAGCAGTCCATTGCCCGATACTCGCGACTTTCGTCAACCAACGACCTTTCATGTCGGTCCTGAAGAATTTATTCAGATTTCGTACAGCAACTTTTGAGTAGAATTGTTTTGGGTAATTTAAGTAAAAAACGCACGCAATTATCGCACAGTTTCGTAAGCTTTAGAATAAACTTACAATTTCTCATGACTAATATTTTATACCTACGCGCGAGGAGCCCATTGCCCTTCAATCATACCTATGCGCTAATTCATCATACGTTAAATTATTCCCACAATACGTATGAGTAGGTAACTTGCTCTGTTATTCATGACAAAACTGGTAAGCTTTTCATCTCGGTTATGGTAAAGCTGCCTTCCATCTTCTACAACCGGCGATTAAGTAGCAAAACGCTATAGTTTGATATGAACCTACTTGTAGGAGTTTTGGGAGGGACCAAAATGTGTGCAGCGAACTTGCTCTTAGCTTGCGCGTCAGGTCAACTTTCCTGCAATTTTGTATGGCTAAAGAGCCTCACTAAAAGAGGCGCTTCTTGATCTAACCTACTCGTGTTGAAATCCTGTGATAAACTTAAACTTTTTACCTCTGTACACTCTACTGGACAAACACGACGGTGTTACTAGCAACACCAGAAATTAACAATCACTCCCAGAATTGGACATCACATACGCAAATGAGAACAGATACAGACAATTTTTACGCCAACAAGATACATGACCAGCGAATAAAATATCCGCTATTTGAATGCTTAAATTTTACAGACTCAACAATTAAGTCGCTATTTTACTTTATTTGCGTTGCATAAATAGACGGTTAGATTCGCGTGCAAAAATATAGAATGAATCCACATGTCAAGAATGTGCAGTCAGGTATTAAATGGTACCACACAAACTCACAAGTAGAATTACTTTCCGAGAATTCAGAGGGATAAAAATACATGGGCAGCTTCCAAGCGTAATACTTCCTCAATAAAGGGGAAGGCATCAGCATTATCGGGAGCAGAATATTTATTTGCTTTCTTGGTGCAGGGATATCTGAGCGCTTTAATTTAAGCTCACCTTGAAAGAAGGCGACAGTCAGTTTCCTCTATAATGCAAATTTTTCTATCACAGTGAAAACGACCTCCTGTAAATAAACTTTCAACGCGACGGCATGGAGATTAGGACCGCACAGGCACACGTACAATCACTCTTCCCGACAGCCAACAGCATCCTGACGCCAGATCGCTGTTGAGTGTTGACGGTGACCGAGACGCGCAAGATGACAGACGCAAGTTCAAGCGCCCTGATAAGGGACTAACTTGAAAACACAGACATGGCAAGTCACACGAAGATTTCAGGATTACGATGAATAAAGGCGAGGTCGGTATTTTAAACGTCGTGAATTTGTTTAAATGGCACATGGCACATCAAGTATTTGTTTAAATGGCACATCATATTTCTTGACTAGAGTTAGTGACAATAATAGGTCTTGGCGCTAATAGCAATAAAGCTTTTTCTGCCCTTTAGTCGTTTCTTGACATCAGAGAATTATTATAGAATAGAAGTGTCGGCATTGAAGAAATAGGACCATGGCCTGTTGCCGATTCTTGAACTTTTCGTGACTTGATTCACAAGTCATCCGGCCTTTGAAACCCGATTTTTCCATAACTGACGATTGATTGAGATAGCTGCTGGACTTATTGCCTGGTCCGTAATTTACTAGGCATTTTAAGACTGAACATATGCTCCTGCATAGCTTCGTCTAGTCTGTTTTTGAAGGCGTTCATACTCGGAGCGTCAACGATGCTACCATGGAGGCTGTTCCACATGTCGGCGACTCGAAGCGAGAAGAAATGTTTTACCGGTACATGAATATAATTGTTTGAATAGGTCACCAGTGAAATTTCCTAAGTCAAGTAGTTTGGTCATAGTTTTGCTAATACGACCATATTAACTAGGCATCAAATTATGGGCGCTTTTTGAAAGTGAAATTCATAATACAATTGCTCGTTCATATTCATGTACCGCACGCGACTGGACATTACAGTACGGTGGGCTTTGAGCCTTTAGTTCAGTCCGCAACTTCAGTGCGCAAATTTGGTTTCCCGCAGTCACCGTGTCCGTAATCGTTGAACGGGAAGGGATTTTCTTCATTACAGATCAGATCCAAAGAATTTTTTTTTCAATAATGAAATCTTGATCTGAAACCGAAATAAATGAAACAAATATAACTCGGTACTCACTGCAGTGAGTGACAGAGAGCGCATTTTCTCGCCGACGAAAACTTGAGGTCACGGCCGGACGGAAAGACAGACGAACACGGCGAGCACAATAGTGCATTTTTTCATAAATGAGAAAATGCGCTAAAAAGGCTCAATAGCATATGTAAATTATGATCAAGCACTCATACTGCTCAAGTGAAGACCGGCCGGTTCAACCATGAGGCCGGTTATACCAGCGAGACGTCCAGCACTCGAATGGGCCTCATGTAGCTTCTCATTCTCACCAGATATATTACTATAAATTTATTTTCTTTCTACGACGTATAGATTTAGTTTTCTGAAGATCGCTTATTTTTATGACCAGCAAAGTCATTTGACGTTATAGTTTAAGTACTAGCGTTTAATTTAAGCTATTTTAAATGCAAAAATAACAACAGAGGCAGCAAAATTATACTTCTTTTGAATGTTAAGATAAACATTGACGCGCACGCGACTGGACATTAAGAAGGCGACTGAAAAAAATAGTCCGCATCCACGTATCCTCTATTGTAAGTTCTGAAAAATTTCTTAACGTAATCCATCCTTTAAAAACATTATAATGACGATCTATTTTTCCTCCATAATGTGGTTTCTGAAAGCAGCCTTGACAGAAAAAGTTCGTGTTTTCGTTTCCGAGATGTGCAAACAAAGTGTCGCGCCGCTAGGGGAGGATAAAGAATAACAACACCTTATTCATTACATTAATTTAAACGATTAAAATTTATCTACATATTAACAAGGAACTTCACAGAAGCGCATCAAAAGTCTTGTCAGTTTTCTCAACGGACAAGAGACGATATTTAATTATCTGTAGTGTCATTCGTACGACGTTAATGAATGAGCCAATGATGAATGAATCAGCCACTTCCAAATGAGGTGTAATGATTTGCTATTACTTTGGTAATACGAGTAATTGTATTATGAATTTCACTTTCAAAAGCGCCTCTAATTTTATGCCTAGTTAATATGATCCGTATTAGCAAAACTTTGACCACACTACTTGACTTAGGAAATTTCACTGGTGACCTATTTAAACTGGAAATTTCACTGGTGACCTATTTAAACTGGAAATTTCACTGGTAACCCATTTAAACAATTACGTTCATGGACCGAACTCGACTAGTTTTTGGGCGCTTTCAGCTGCAGGGCAGACAGGTCGAGCTTGTCGAACTCTTTGACCAAGTCCATGTGGGAGAAATTCTGTGGCTGCTCGTGGAAGAGTTTAAGTAGCGCCGTCTTGCTGGGCTCGACGCCGGAGTAGTAGAGCTGCACTTGGTTAGCAAGGAACTGCGCCTCCTTGCCACTCTGTCAAACAAAATTAAAATTCGGCAGGCAGAATTTTTTTTTGCTTTTTAGCGCATTTTCTCATTTATGGAAAAAATGCCCTATTGTTCTCGTCATGTCAGTCTGTCTGTCCGCCCGTCCGTGACTTCACGTTTTCATCGACGAGAAATGCGCTCTCTGTCACTCACTGCAGTTAGTACCGAGTTATATTTTTTTTGACTGTCAGAGTTAAACATCAAACAGAAACAGACACGTGAACCTATATCATGATCAAATAGCGTTTTCGTTGAGTCAAAGAAATTAATGAACAACTTTTTGGCGCATTTTATCATTTATGGAAAAAATGCACTATTGTGCTCGCCATGTCCGTCTGTCTGTCTGTCCGTCGTCCGTGACTTCAAGTTTTCGTCGACGAGAAAATGCGCTCTCTGTCACTCACTGCAGTGAGTACTGAGTTATATATTTTTTTTAATGCGTAAAAATTCTAAATAATGGACAATGTTGAAAAGCTTGCAAAATGAAATAAATAGAACCCTAAATTATTCTATTAACTCAATTAGAGAAAATGAGTCTTATTCCAGTAGGCAAATATTCAAACGAACAATTCTATGAGCCAAATCCAAAATGTTTTGGGTTGAGATGAGATTGTAATGCGATGAATGGATGAATGCAATTAACCAGTTAACAGAATTATACGATTCAACTAATCGTCATTTGACAGATAATATAATTATCGAAGGTACGATAATTTATACTTATATTCAGATTTCCAAACAACGTTGACCGCTTAGAAAATTTGGTCTCGCAAGCGTCACTCACAAGAGTATTGGTGTCATACTCGCCCCGCATGAGCACGATGTCGAGGCTCTCTTGCAGCTCCGTGTAGTGCACCATCGTGAGGCACTCAGGCGCGTTCTCTTGGTACGCCTGCACACAAGAAGCTTGGCTCGTGGGGTCAACATTTAAACGGAGACTTCTATGAAAATCTATTTTTATTTTTACCATAAATGGTCGAGAAAAATTCTCTCACTAACAAATAGGATCATAGAACCAAACGTTTATTTTGTTTTTACGACGTTCAATAACGGGAAAATGCAGAGGAATTTATAATCAAATTAGCATAGTATGAGTTAGCAATCAAATAAGACTTTCTTTGACTCGAAGTGGTAACTCCTTTACAATATTGAAGACTTTCCAAAGAAGAGCATTTCCTTAAGATCTTATCTGTGGCAGTTAGCGCCAAGAAATACGAAGATAGATACAAATATAAATGATGGACGAGACGCTGACCTGGTAGTTGATGAGAGGTGTGAAGTGCACCTCAGGTCCGGCAAACTGGGCGAGGATGAACTCATAGCCTTGCTCTCTTGGTAGGGCGAATAAAAACTGTCAGTATGAATGCAATTGATTATCAGTGAATAAACAGCGAACAAAACAATTCAAGCATTTGAAAAATAAAGAATGTAATCAAAGAATGAAGCTAAATTCTCAAAAGAAGCAGGAATGTTCAAAGTTGAGTGCTACAGAAATTCATGTTTCTTCAAGCTGCCGTAAAATTATTAAACCAATAATAATATAACGCACAAATGAGTAATGAACTTCAAGTTAAAAATATTCAGCTCGAGGGAAGAGTCAAGAAAGGTTTTAACGTCTTCGCTAGGGCTACCTTATCGTAGGTGGTGGCGGTGGCGCGGATGGAGTCGTAGAGTTGACCCTTCATTACTCCGCTGATGACGGGGAAGTTCTGCCAGTGCTGGTTCCACAACTGCATCAACACAAGCCAATTTATTAACTTGTAAAATATACTAATTATATTGCAGGAACAGAAACTATCGGACTTGTTTTAGGCAGTGTAACAAACCCGGCCTTGATCAAATCGCAATGAAAAATTAATTTTCACAACCACTGTAATAAACGTGTTTCGAAATTTGTCTCATAGAGAAACAGAAAGGCAGACAAAGCATCGTTGCTACAGCACTACAGGTATGAGACTAGAACTACTATGATCAAGTTGATATCAGTGAATAAATAGACTCACAAAAGTAACTTCCTCGGCATTCTTGTACCGAAGCAGCTCGGTCTTCATGATGCTGTCGAGTTTCTGTGGCAAAAGAGAGAATTATATGTTCTACGCATTCCAATTACAGGCATGGACATCAGTATTACATTTTGTTCTTCAATGTAAAAACGTGTACAATGTGATAGTGCAGAAATTAGTATCATATGGCAGAATTTTCTTGTTTATATGTTTACAATTAAAGACAAAAGAATGCATTGCAATTGTCAAAGAGTCGAATAATTCTTCACATGACGTTGGTAGGTCAAAAGGCAGGTTTAACAAGTAATACCTAATAATATATTAACGACGTTTCGAATGTAACAAAATTCATTTTCAAGTTAAGAGAAACATTGAATAATGAAATTTTGTTGGACATAATACCCGTAAATAAGATTAAACACAAAACTTTCGAGCCAGAAATTCAATCTCAAAGTTTAGACAAATCCAGTAGTTTGGAAATTGATTGCTGGGGTCCAATCCAAATTGACGAGGATTCCAGCAATAATATAATTAGTCGGTTAATGTTGTGCACCTCTGCATGGTGGCGATGCTGGTGGGTTCCTCCAGCACAGTGAGAGCGACGGTCTTGTGAGTTTCTCTCAGGAGGTTCCTCTGCCTCCAGACTGAAGATGGCAGGTGAGACAGTCTCGATGTCGTGGTTGTTAATCCAATTACTCCAATGTAGTCCAAGAGACGAAGAAGTCAAAACCTCTTTGAAGCAAAATTCATAGACTACACCGGCCTCTTGGAGAACTTCTGCTTTTTGGCAGGGACCATTATTGCGAATAGTCCGGAGCTTGAAGTTGTTGTCAAGGGTGTTACCAAGCCTGCCAAATTCATCAATGATATTAAAATGAAGTTGCTAGTTTGTAATACTCAATGTCGTAGTTGTTAGTCCAATTACTCCAATGCAGTCCAAAGGTCTTAATACATTGAGTATAACAAGCAAGCAACATCATCGAAAGATCATTGATGAATTCAACAGGTTTGGAAAAACACTTAATTTTCGCTTATTGCGTACGGGTCACGCAGGAGCGTTCATTACGGATAGCAGTTTATTGCAGGCCGGGGTCGAAAGTTCATAGTGTGGCATTACCATAGTCCAATCTGGTCAGAACGAGCACCACCACAAGGGCCTCGAGAGACCGACTGACGTTACGTTTTCGTCGCAGAGCGGCAAAACAAGCGGTGGTAACTTTGGCAATATGATTGTTCATAAAAGGTTCAGAGTCCAGCAGAATGCCAAGTTGTGAATGAAGACGAAGGCATGATAAACTCCTTGTTCACGCGAACAGGGTTGGCTGGAAGCTGATGCTGGCAACAAGCAGTCTAAAACCAAATAAAGTCGGCGCAATACTCCAAAAAAAAAAAAAAAGTGTGCGCACGAAACGAAAATGTCAGCTCTCGGCATTACTGTTTACACAGTTACATCGAACCAACATTACTATGTAAAGAAAAGAAGAGAGAAATTATGTCTAAGAACATTGCGCCTGAGAAGCGAGGCTCGTCCTTCCCTTTACGATTGAACGATCAATCTTACATGCCGAATGCTCATCTCTTCATCATGAACGCACAATGTTATTACTAATGCTGACAGCAAATTGCTTACTTTTGGGGGCGCGAAGGCGTAGGCGCCACTAGGCAATGTGGTCTTGCCCTTGGGTGCCTTGGAGGAAATAGGCTTGACGCCTGCAGCGCCCACGACCGCGTCAGCAGCTTCGTTCTTAGCCTCCGACTTGCGAGTTTGAACCGCCTTCACCAGCTCCACAGGTCGCTCCCTGTCGCCGTGTGGAACACGCCAAGATTAATACACTGCATTAAGCTGTAGGATCAGGCGATAAAGATCACGCTCTTCTTTATATAGTGAGGGAGGCGAGGTCGCTATGGGACATTTCTCAACATCGCATGACACTCTTTTGAGTCTCGCAAGATACGTGACGATCTCGGAAACTCAGTGAGCAACATATGGTTGTGGATATTGCTGTAGGGCACAGAAATGATGCAATACTCTGCTACTGAACTGTTACTCACTTTTTAATCTTGTCGATTTTTTGTGCATATTTCCCATAGAAAGGGTTGCTCTGAAGATGCTGCATTGCCTCATCCATTTTCCGGAATGTCAGCGCAAGGCACCGGACCTGAAACGAAAGATAATAAAGAGAAAAGTCACCATCTGCAATAATTTTTAATGATACGAAAACCAATTTCTAATCTAATAGAAGCTCGGGGTATTTTACCTCACAACTGATGTCCTAAAAGCATGCTAAGTCATTGAACAAGAGTTTTTTGTTAGCCATTCCCCACCAAATAGCAAGGCTAATGTTTTGATGTACATTTTTCTTGTTAGTAACATTTGTACACCGATCAAGGAACTTTAGTTGGTAGGTACTTAGAACCATTGCTACAATTGATGATAACAGAAAGAAAAATTGCTTAGATCTATTGCTACAACTGATGAAAAGCCATGGAATATCAAGTTGATCACAGACATCATTCCAACCTCTTTGACATCAATTTGAATGCAATCCATAGAAAAAAAACAAAATTTGCATAAATAATGTAAATGACCTTGGAGGAATCGGAAGGTATTCCTGTCACTTAAGACCATTTCTCCAAAATTAAATACAATAAACAAAAATTATGAATGGTTACACAGATGTAAGCATTTCATTCTACATGGTACAAAAAAAAAATAATTACCTGATTAGATGTGCCAGCAACTTGACCATAGAGCTGTAAAAATTGACTGAATGGCCTTGGCCAACTCTGCATCCTCTGAAACCTGGTATGTAATATTATATTGTATACACAACAGACTTCAAACTACAATCCATGTATATAGGTAGTCAATGCAATGTGAGTTTTTCATCTGTCTTTCATGTCTGATGGTATTTCAAAATTGCTAAAATCTGATGATTCTTCATTCAAATTTTTGCTGTAACAAATTTAAACCCAGAATATTGCATCATCAAATTTTTGATGAAATTCAAATTCTTTTTATGAAGTTGCATTCAATACGTAGACCTCAGTCAAAAGGGAAAAAAACTCATATCTGATTCCAATTGAAAGTTAGCTGTATAACTATGATTGAAAAAGAGATACACATGAGGTTTACAGGTACAGAGAGATGTCAAGTTATATGAGAAAAACGCAATAAGTAATGAACATCACTAACCAAAGTTAAAATTGTTGGGATATCTTGCTAGCCTTCACATGGGAGGGAGTGCTGGTTCCCTTAGCACAACATGTGTGCACTTCTTGCCCAAATATGAGATATAGAATAACTCAACTCAAAACAAAGATTCATTCAAAATAACCATACAGTATACCGTAAAATGGGGTAACTTAGACCGGCGGGGTAACTTAGACCACTTTTCGTTTTTTTAACAAAAACCCCCACAACTCAAAAACTATTTGACATAGAAAAATTTTGTCAATGGGCATTGAAGGCCTAATACTGAGGCTACATAACACAATAGGAAGATTTGAAAAGTTTGCATATCTAATAGGTTAAAAAATTAAAAATGTGACCCACGAAAAAAAGCTATTATTTAAAGCCTGTCAGAGTACCCCCTCCAATTTTTTTATTTTTTGGTTAAATAACTCCAGGTTTTGATGCACTGTAGTAGAACTCTTCTAGTTACATATGCAAATGACAAATTTTAGGAAAGTGTCATAGTTTGCAAATGGGGGGCGCCGCCCCCAAATGGGGTAACTTAGACCACCTAATGTCAGCCCTGACGGGGTAACATAGACCGGCTTGGAAGTTAATATAAAATTACCATATATAACATATTTTATGTTTGACAGCCTATTTATGTTTTTTCTTTATGTTTCAGACTCTACAGAGTCTTATATATGGTAATTTTAACTTAATTTCCAAGCCAGTCAATATTACCCCATCAGGGCTGCCATTAGGTAGTCACATTTATGGGGCAGCGCCCCCCATTTGCAAACTATGACACTTTCCTCAAGTTTGTCATTTGCATATGTAACTAGAAGAGTTCTACTACAATGCACCAAAATCTGGATTTATTTGGAGTTATTTTACCAAAAAATATAATTGATTTTACCACCCGGTCTAAGTTACCCCAAGAGCTGGGGTAACAAAGACCACCACTTTTTTTTAAATTACATAAAGACTGTGAGAGGCAGGAGCCAGCAATTTATGGTGAGTGAAGCTAGAGTATAGACCTGTATTTTGCATGTTTCAATTCAAGTTTAATTTAGCTAGTAAAAAAATGGGCATCATTTATAAAAATAAAAGTGGTCTAAGTTACCCCATTTCACGGTATTGATGGTCAAGTCAACTCAATCAAAATATTGTTATTGTGAAAATATTAGGTTGTCGATTTTTAATTAATTTTATTGCAATAAGGAAAGATCATATATCCGTGAAGTTAAAAAAAATTACTAACACTCACACAGGTGCGAATAAAATAAACAACAGGTCAATTGTTTTCGACTTTTATTTGAATAGCTCCTTGGCTCTCTTCTTCTTTTCTTTCCTCTCTAGATATTTGTCTAGTTTGTTGTCTTTCTTGAGTGCCTGGTAATTTTTAACCAGCACCTCCAACTTGTGATCACTCTTCTTTTTCAGGATAGGCCTTCTGCCTTCTTTGAGTGCACTTATCATGGCATCTTTTTCTTGCTTCTTTATGCTTCTTTCTTCCATAATCTTCTGCTTCTCCCTCTCCTGATTGTCAATTCTCTGGATGGCTATTTTAATTTTTCTTCTTTCAACAGGATTTTCAGCCTGAGACAAAGCTTGCTGAAGTGTGGCTCGTTCCTTCTGTCGCATTTCAGCCAAAAACTGATAGTTTTTACTAAATGCTGATATGTCTAAGTGCCCAGACATATCATCAAAACGAGGGTCGCGAATCACTCTTTCTTTAGACGTCTTCCTGTGCTGTTTCCATAAGGGTGGCGGAGCTCTTCTAGTCAGGCTCATTTCTATGGGACCACAATGCTTCTTCTTTCCTTTTTTTAACCCAATATCACATTCCTCAGCTGAAACTTTATCTCTTGGTTTACCAAGTTTTTGTTTATTCAAACTATCTGAGACTTGCCCTAATGAAATATTTGCAGCAGCAATTGAAGAGCTTACAGGGTCTGAAACTGGTGAATTTTGGGAAGCAACAAGTTCTGCAGAGGACTCAGGGGAAGCAGCACTGGTCTTGCTATGAAGTGACAAAAGACTGGCAAGAGACTTCCTTTTTTTATCCATTTTGGATGTGTATGCACTGAAACTTTTTAACAACTCAAATACCTGAAATAAATTTCTGTTATTAAAAACTTTTGAATGATGAAAAATATTTGTGTACAAAGTAGGTACATGTGCAATGAATTATAATCTAAATAACCTGCAGGCAGGCCTATTTGATTGATACTGGGATGGATTGTATATCTATGCAATATGGGACTCCCGTTGCTTTAAAAACTGAAATTGAAGAAGGGACTTGTCAGACAAACATTTAACAGGCAATTCCCATGTAAGAAATATTTTGAATCATTAAAAAAATTTACTTAAGAAGGAGAATTACATCTTGATATTAAAATCTTATTTTTCTCTTCATTTCCCCTAACTCTATCTTTTCCCTAATACAACAAAACTACACCACTAAAAATTCAATTCCCATCTTAAATAGGTACATATTTACTGACACCTGGCAACTTCCAAACAGATACACACACACAAACAAAAAATAAAAACTGTCATGAATAAATAATAGGGAAATAAAATACAGGTTCTGCCAGTTAAATTTTGGTATTTAGCATAGGCTACAACTTTTAATTCAAGCCCCAGCTTCTAGCAGCAAGTTTAGCAAGTATTCATAGAACATTTCAATACTGGCCATCAAAAGACACTTGCAATTGGACCTAAAAAAACATATGCTGATGAGATATTTCAGCAGCTGAATGAAGAGCAATATTGCCAAGAGAGTAACACTTTTGGGAGTGACCAAACATAGTCCCTCCTAATTTCTCAAAAAGAACCCCCATGACCATTGGTTCATGTTTTAGGCTAAGTTATTTTGAATCTGAAAATGATTATCTGATTATTATTCAATACATATCATCTCCTCCTACCATGCAAATAATTAGAATGTGAGCATTTAAATGATAGCTCTAACTTGGGCAACAAAATTTATGAGTTTCCATCTGTTCTAAAAAAACGGAAGTAGCAATATCTATTCATTTATTTTAATTAACTTGATGTACCGTCAACTGGGATGACTTCTGCTGCCGGGGTGACTTCAGCCAACGTTTATGATTTTGTTTTGCGGCCATCTGTTTCTGTTGTAGTTGTGTTATGTGATTGGAACAAAATGGTATCCTATGTAGTTTTTTCTCATCTATCGATTGGAAACTGTTTTGTTTCAATAATTTTATATCCTGCTTGACCAACACAATCTGAATGCCACAGTACTGTAAAGGAAAATAACCTGAGTGCAAACTTCAATATTTTGAGATACGAAAAGAATTTTGGGATCAGATTTGTTTCACTTATTTTGGTATCTTGTATAATGATTATATCAATGGCTATATGTTTTTTACCAAATGTAATATATATGCTTGAAAAATTAGCTGGGCAAGTCACCCCATAGTATATGGGCTAAATGGGGTGACTTTGGCCAGCCAATAAATGTTTAGAATAACAGATTCTTTTTATTTTTTCCGACAATATGCACGGCTATAAACGTAAATTAGATTCTGTGCCATATAGGATATATTATGAGGAGTCATTTAAGAAAGCATTGCAATTGATAAAAGATGGTGTTTAGCTTAAGAGAAGCTGCTAATATTTGCATAGTACCTCTTTCAACTTTGAGCGACCGATGTGCTGGCCGTCATATGAAAAATTTAGGACAGTCTATATACTCATTCACCTACAGAGGAGTCAGATTTAGTATGCTACATTATTCTGCTTTCAGACTGGGGTTTCCCATTAGATGGTATGGATCTGCGTTTTTTGGTTAAGAATTACCTTGACAAACTGGGTCGCACTTTACGTAAGTTCAAGGGTCGCACCTTTATCAAGCATCATTGGTTTTTTGAAGAATGCTCGAGATCCCATGGGGACTAGATTTTTCAAACTTTCACATCCAGCTACCATTGAAATCGACAGAAAGCAGCCTTAATGAAACATATGATTCACAAATGTGGGTTATATATTTGTGTTACAATTTTTATAATAGGTACACAGTGGCACTGATTATCATTTTTTAAAACACCCTATGTGGCCGATGTCACCCCGCTAATGGTTGAATTTGGCCTCAAAATCATTTTACTATGTTTTTGCTGTGTTTTAACACATATGGCCAAAGTCACCCCATTGCAGGGTGACATTGGCCACCCAGCTAATTAAAAAAATATTATTAAGCGATAAAAGTGACATAATTTAGACATGACATATTCAAATAAGAACCTTTCAGTAATATATTTACAATCACCAGCAATGCCTCATTCCTATTTTGTAGGAATTTGATCGACAGAAACTAGTGTAATTTGGCTGAAGTCACCCCAGTTGATGGTAATCAAATTAACCCTTTACGCCCTGGCGTGACAAATTCGTCACACAGAAAAAAACATCGGTTTTCCAACAATTTCACGTTTTCTGTCATTTTTTTCGAAAAATTCACAAGAATAAAAAAAGTCTTAGATTTATTTTTTACATATGTGTACCAAGTTTCAAAGTTATCTGTCAGTAAGTAACCGAAATAAAATTTCCAATTTCCAATGGCAATGTCCAATTTCTTATGGAAATTCTATTTCGGTTAATTACTGACAGATAACTTTGAAACTTGGTACACATATGTAAAAAAACAATCTAAGACTTTTTTGTTTGTGGGAATTTTTCCAAAAAAGTGAAAGAAAACGTGAAATTCTTAGAAAACTGACAAAAAGGGGGTACTGTAGAAATCTATCACCTCCTATGATTTTTGAGCTACAACATCAAGACGCATATCATTCGATGCGTAAGGACCATATCTATTGATTGGTCCTTGCTGTTTTTCAAAATTCTAATTTTTGTGGGTGGGGTGGGCATTTTTCGAAAAAAATTGGTTTCTCCCCCCCCTTTTGAATTTCCCCTTCTCTTTTTTCAAAATATTTTCAAAACTATAACGAAAATGAAAAAAAGCTTCGACCAATCTCTAGATCTTTTATTTGCGAATTGAACGGTATATTACTCATTGCTGTAGCTTAAAAACTCTGGGAGGAGATAGGTTTGCAGTGACAATAAGTGTGAATGTTCAGTAGGGCGCGACAAAGTCCCGAGCCCCTCAAAATAGGCATTCAAGGTGACATAGATGCAAGACTAGACATTACTGGAGCCAAAATTCAGTCAAGGATGGTGGGAACGACTGCATGAGCACCATCCCACATGACAGCAGCCGGGTAACTAAAGAGCAGCGTCTTCAGGTTGTCTATTTATGGGCCCGACCAGTAATTTTCGCCCATATTAAATGTTAAAGAACTCCCCCACCCCTAACCCTTTCACGAACTGTCGTCAAGGCATAAATCAACGTACAGAGACGATTTTGGTACCGTTGGATAGGTCAGAATGTCAGCTTTGAAGTGAGACATAAAACGGAAAAAGTGAATTTTACGATTTTCATCCCAGAAATTCAGGGCGTAAAGGGTTAAATCAAACTTATTTGGTTACCCATAAAATTTAAATTATCTTAATTTAACTTAAACTTGACATTATTCAACTGCAAATTACTCTTTAAAGGTACAAAATGATGAAAATCACATGAGTAAATACATATTATATATAGGTAGGTAATTGTTCATACTTTCTCTGAAAGGGTTTTTTAAATTTGCAGATCTGCATATTTCTATGCTTGTGTACAAACAGAATAATAGTCTGTGGTCACTCATTCTGTAGTATTGTCTAGAGCATCCCAAAAAGTTCAAAATATATTTTTCCTGGACACCCCAGCCTAGTGAAGCCTGTAGGAAATGTGCTCCAAATCAGCTTGCAGAGAAAAGAAAACCAAATAGAGAAGACAATTTTACCCAAAGTATCCTTAAATTACTTCTAGTTCTAGAGTTGGTATACTTTCCCTTGATTCTTGATGGCTATTTTGCAGGTGGATAAACAAGTTATGATTTGAAAATACATTATCTAAATATATAGAATGCTCAATGTGTCCAAGGGCAGCTAAGCCAAGCAAGATTGAATTTTTTTACTCTTTTCTGAAATACATGGGCTCTAACTCTATTATCACATCATTTTTGGCAGGTATGAAATCTTGCAGCTCCAAAGTCACATATTTGCATTGGAGCGGTAACCAGAGGAATATATTTGCATTTGGAGCGGTAACCAGAGCTATACAGCTAATTTTGGAGCCAAGAGATTACTGCTAGATTAATTAAATTCCTTCTATCCAATTGTTAATAAAATTGCACAATCCAGAAGCAAGATTCCAAAAAAATGTCACTTTGCAGCACAGACAGTATAATTAGAGAATGTTAAACTAGTGTTAAACTATGAATGTTAATTAGGGTGTGATTTGAGGGAGAATGCAAATTGCAAGATATAGGGCAGAGTAGCTGTTTCAATTTATGAGGGAAAACTCTAGGCTGCTGAGGGTAAAATCAAAGTGATGCTACATTGTGGTGTAAATAAGTAGCTTGGCGTGAGTCAGAAGGCAGTCTTGAGCCAGCAAGCCAACTGAGCGGCCACAAGGTAATCGTCTGTAGTTGGGTGTTGGGACCAAGTTGGTGGTCCTTGTACTGTGGATGCGCTAGGCAAAAGACCAATGGGAAAACATATGCTAACATGAGTGGTGTAAGCTTTATGAAAGGATTCCAATTATACCCTAAATTACCTATATAGGCTGGAGCAAAGTTTGCTTAAAATATGGATAAGTTAGAAATTCATAACAAAGACAAGATTCTTCAGATAATCTTCAATGGGCTCTTGTTGTTGTAAGAACTACTTGACACCTGATGCCCCAGCATTATTCCACCTTAAGCCGTAAAAACATTGAACTCCAGGATTGATGCCACTATATGACAGGAGTCTGCACCAGCAGAGCTACATGTCAAGAAATCAGTGACACTACATTTTTAAGAGAATCTTCTGTCAGCTACTGATGTTGTAAGAACTACTCGATAGCCTGATGCTCAGCCTCATTCCAACTTCAAAAGTTTTACAGATCTTGAGTCCCAAAATTGACTCCACCAAGGACAGGAGTCTGCATCAGCACAAATGCATTAAGGGGGCCACCAAGTGCAAGAAAAAACAAGGGATTCACAAATAACTACGGCAGAGGAAGTTTGGCAAAGTCAACCAGTCCTCAGTGTCTGGGTGTCTCTGTACCAAACCTGGTGATGTTTGGCAGTTCTTTCATTGGGGTACTTAAGTTAGGTGACCAGTTGGTATCGGTGTTATACCTAGCTATTGACATTAACTCTATCCAAATTCTGTGCTTAGGTCCGTGTATGATTTATTAGTTCAGTGTTATTCCATGCTATTGACAAAAACTCTGCTCAATTCCTGTACTTGATTGGCCTGTGTCAGATTTTTGTAATATAGGTTGTGTTGAATTTTACCATAAATTATTATTTTTACTCTTTGGTGACTTCATTGAGAACTTTTACATTTGAGCTACTCTGACAGAAAACCTGACAAATAAATCTATTGAGTTGCTCTAAAGAGAAAAATCAAAATAAAGATTCATCTCCCCAATATTGAACTTATTCAAGTAAAGTATGGCACAACATAAGTTGAGGATGCCTACTTCATTGACCCAAAGACAAAGAGTTACAATCAAGGCTGACGGCCATCAGGGTAATAAAAATAATAATGGGGTAATAAGGGACGGTTTTGAGTGTTTTTCATTAATAACTTTTTACCATGAAACATTTCATAAACAAACTTGGGCTCATTTTAAAGGTCTTTGCAAGGGCTATCATATGGCATCTCCAAAAAAATTCCATATGCTATTTGTATGGTGCTAGACGCAATATAAAAGCCTCCCAAATTAATCTGGGAACAAGGTATTAAGGGACACTTGAAATAAAACTATTTTAAAACATTTGAAACGTAAAACAACCTTGTGCACTGCAAGCTTCATATCAGTAGCCATGTAGCATATCTTCTGTATCTGTAAGCTTACAGGATGGCTTGTAATTTCAAT